GGACGCAAACACCGCATTTCCAGTGTTTGTTCGCCGCATTTGTTCGCTTGTTCGGTGTTTGTTTGCTCTGATGTTAAACTATAATGGCGACTGGCTACGTATCACGCTGACATTAAAGGACTGCTTTTATCGACGGTGTCTGCCGCTGGAAAATCACTGCCCAAGCGCCTGACTTTGATGACTTTGTAGTGAGACCAGGTTGGTTTGACTCATACCTCCACCCCTCCAACATTAACTTTCTCGCTTTGAAGACTACGTCACCTCACTTCCTCCTCTGCTTCCGTAATAATTACCATGGCCACTAGAGGGCTCCACCTTTCTATAAACGTAATTACAGGTCATAATAAGCTGCTTGTACAGTCGACCTATGCAGCTGTTTTTGCTGTGAGAGCAGCGTGTTTACTCCAATCCATCAAGATTCTTCACAAATTCAACGTAACACAGGCTGAACAATGGATATACAAATGATCATTTTGTGGAGGAAGTATTCCTTTAAGATTCTCTCTCTGTTCAAAACATCCCTTGTTTTGACGAATATCTCAATAATGAAACACCTCTTTGGACTCTCTACAAACTAAGCTCCTTGTTCGAAAACCAAAAAACCCACCCCACAAATCACTCTGACCATAATGTCTCTAGATAAGAAGCCAGTCAGGGAGTCAAACGCCGCTGTCTCCAATCTCACACTTCAAATACTGGTTACTGGAAGTGTGAGATTGGAGACAGCGGCGTTTGACTCCAATCTCACACTTCAAATACTGGTTACTGGAAGCAGTGTCAACCTGAGATCACCGGGATTAGGCACTATCACGCATCCACTCTTGTCAACCTCAGAGTGAAGCACTGTCTGCAAGGTAGAGAGGAATGCTGCGTTTCTACAACAGAGCTATTGCATTAGAAACATCAACAGGGCCAGCTTCAAAGGGGCGCGCCTTCACATTGAATCAATCCCCACTTCCATTAGATTAGATGAATTCACCAAAGTTACATTGCGCTAACGTTTCTTTATGGTTTCTCAAATCCCTCGCTCTGGTTCTGGTTCCCCCTGTGAAGCCACTTCAAACAGCCTCTGCCATGGCATATCCCTTTGTGCTCTAAAACAGCAAATATGTGTCTCTCTAAAATGTTTCAGATGCGAGCTCGCAGTGGTCCCAGAGGCACAGACAGCATCGCACACAGAAAACAGGGGAGTCAGAGGAGGAAAAGCACAATAGCTGAGTGTAAAGGTAGGGCATGTGTTGTTAACATGCAGGTCTGCAGGGACAGTCTGAATGACTGAGTGATGAGAAAAGACGATAAAGATAATACAGGGACAAAGAGAGGAAACCAAAAAGCAGATAGTGTGGGAGAAATCCTGCAGCAGTAAATCAGTGTGGTAATAAGGAGGGACAGGAGGGGAGGAGGGCTGCAAAGGTCTGGAAACATATGTTTCAGTTTGTAAATAAAACAGTAAATTGCTATGGATATTGCTTAAATATCTGTGGGCTTTGTACCTCGCTTTGCGGAAGTTCCTCGGAAATCATTCTGGGACTGCCTTCTTAAAATGCCAAAGCGGCTTCTTAATGTCAAAGAGGCCATCTGGTTCTCGACCAATTCAAGATGTTTGCTTTTCATTTAGCGTTTTTCCTCCTGACGCTTCTTTTTTTAGATCAAATGCTCCATTTTTTGTGAATCATTAATACCAATGTTCACATTTCAGGATGGAGATGTTAGCCAGCACGCATCACAGACACAAAATAAAGCTGTGGATCCTTGTTCACCTTTTGTTACTGGTGGAAAGTAACTAAGTACTTTCACTCAAGTACAGTTCTGAAGTACGTGTACCTCAAAATATTTCCATTTTATGCGACTTTGTACTTCTAACTCACCTCCAGAGGAAATATTAAACTTTTACTCCACCTCGTTTATACTTTTAAGATCAACATTTTACATAAAAATATGATGATGCACTGTTAGGGAACTACCCAACGCTATATAGACTAGTTAGAGTAACTTCATGCCAACCAACATTGAAGTGCTGTGTAAATATCGTAATAATAACCCAGTATTATAATATGCCACTCTGATATGAACCATCCTGCTGCCTGATTCTACTTTTCCCTTTGATACTATTAATACACTCTGTTGTTTGTACGCTTGTGCTTCCAATGAAGTGAAATTACGAGAGCACAACTTTTACTTTTGATGGAGAAGTTTTAAAGTGTGATACTGATACGTTCACTTCAAGATCTCAGTACTTCCTTCGCCTCTGTCTTTGATAAACCGATGACAAACTGCAAACACTAGTAACGCTGACAGGAGTGATGGCAGCGGTGCCCCCAGAGATTTTTCATAGGGTGGCCAAATGGGACCACTGAAAATCTTGGGGTGGCACACCAAAACCAAAAGCCATAACTCTGAGGGATTTGATTGTGTTGTTGAAGTCTACAGGCTGGTTGAAAACTACGTCAATATGAGAGTGAAGGAGTTTCGTACTTACACACTTCGGTTTCTTATTTTACAGTTAAAGTAACTAATTATCTGACACGCATAGACTGATACTGGTAGTTTCACAACAATCCCATTTTAATGCGTCATGTATCCGCATACACATGTGTTAGGTGATTCAGTGTTCGTCAGAATGGCTGGTTGTGTTTTTCTTTGAAAAGACAAACACACAGCTTTAATTTGACAGAGCACACTGACTGCAAGAAACAAAACATTTGCTGGGAATAAGCCGTCTCAAGGTTAAGTTCAAGTTTTCATCACATACAAAGCCCTCAATAACCAGGCCCCACCCTACCTGTGTGAGCTCCATCATCACACTCTCACCTGCACACTCCACTCTGCCGATGCCAACCTCCTGTCCCACCCCACCCCACCCGGACCTAGCACAAATCCTGGGGGGACAGGGCCTTCTCCAGCGCTGCTCCCACCCTCTGGAACTCACTCCCCAAACCCATCTGAGACTCCCCCTCTCTCTCCATATTAAAAAAATCACCCAAGACTCACCTGTTCAACACTGCTTACAATCACTCCTCATCCCTTATTTGTTCTCTTGCTTGTCTGTTTTTTTTTTCTAATTTTTTTTTTATCCCTGAATTTGCAAAGTGTCTTTGAGTGCCTTGAAAATCACTTTATGAGTATATTATATTATTATAACTATTATTAGAAACACCACAGAGAGGACTCCATTTATTTTTGAAAGTCCTGAATTCAAAATTTTATTTGAGTTAAGTCAAAAATATTAGCAATAAAATGTACAGAAAAACCCTAATCAGTGTGGCAATATTATTCATATATATTATTATTTAGGCATCAATATATAAGTACTTTGATGTTACACTTAGTTGGCTGTGGAGAAGAAGTGAAGCAGGACTACATAGAAATACCAAAGTAAAGCACCTTTACATGCATTAAATTGTTCTTACGTAGGGTATTTGGATAAATGTGTTGAGTTTATTTCTGCCACTTGTTGGCAAATACGCAACCCTGAAAAAAGAGAATGAAATCTGCTGTAATTACTGATTATGACGTGTAAGCGAGAGCACATAAACAGGTCTGAGAGCAGATGGGTGGATGCTCACTGAGATACAATGCGTTTGTGTCCTTTTCTGACATCATCTGCTGCAAAGGTGCGCACATGTGCAGTACAAAGGAATCGTTTCCCCTGTAGATTGTTTGTTATAGATCTGGATTCAGCTGCTGCCGCTCTGTAGTATGTAATTATACAGGATGTTTAGGATAGTATTGTTATTTGAAAGTATAAACTTTTGTTTCCAGTCTCACCGCACTCTGCCAGACTGCCAGTCAACACTTGAGACAACTTCCTTCCTTGATTTGAGTAGAAAGGAGTCCCATAATTGAATAAAACGAGACCCCTCCCTCTCTTTACATACCACACAAACGCGCGCACACACACACACACACACACACACACACATTTTACAGGCTGGTGTATAAACTTAATAGGACGTATTTGGTTCCAAAGCCCCCAGCTTGCTCAGTGGAAAGTGAGCCGGATTGTTTTTCAGTTTCTTAATGTCGAAGTTTATAACGGCCAGATAAAAAATGTTGCCATGGTGATTTAACCACAACATCGCAATTACCTTGATGCAATGAGACTCTGGGGGCTTACAAGCAAACCAGTGTAATGCAATTAAGATATAAGTACCACCAAAAAATGTCCTTAAAACACGGAGCAAGGATGCAGGAAGGCAACAAAGAGTGAAATAATGATAGTGGCCTCTTAAGGATCAAAGTTACTGATAAATAAATATTAAAACACAACGCCAGATTCACTTTACTTTCTCCTCACAGCTGCAGGATTCAAGAGACACATTTCTCCACCAGATATTGTCCAGTACATGAATAACTAAATGACTTATAACGCACCAAACACTGATGGCCGCTGTAATATTTCACTCACACATTTTTCACATCAACTTCAAAGTCCTGCTATCAGACGGCTGCCTTCACAAAATCATACACTCAAAAATTCTCCACACCCCCACTCCCCCCAAACTTTCCCTTTGAGGGGCAAAATAAAAATGTGGATGGATGGAATAATTGCCTGACTTCAAAGTGCAGCTTATTGACCTGCATTTACTGTTGCGATCGCAATGCTGTGGGGTGTGGTTTTTTTTATTCTTCTTCTTCATAAATGTGGCTTGGGTGGGTGGGAAAAGTGGTTCATTCCACTCATGGCGCAAATCCCACTCTAATGCCCAACACTGACCCTCCTGACCCGAGCTTAGCAGGAAGAAGGATGTGTAACACCTTCAATCTGCCTCTGTGACACTTTCTCGTGTTACATCAAAGTCCAAATGCTTATGAAGAAAATAATAAATTGTCTTTTTGCTGCTGTAACTCCTTCACAAAGTACAAAGGAATAAAATGCTTTGGAGGAACAGAAACTTTAAAAAAACCCACATTCCTTCTTAGAAAAAGAGGAACAGCTATAAGCTCCTGACATGTCTATTTCCAGATTTCATTGCAAAAACATACGGCTGCACGGCGGATGTCAAAAAACACATTTTTATTAATGTGACTCTCACACACACTCACACAAACACACGCTCCTACATTCAGTCAAGTGATAAACGTGGATACACAACGCCCTTCTTCATTTCTAACATGGTAATGTACAGAGATAAAGGAAATAATAATCTCAATAAGCAACAATATAAATGTCATGAATGGTTCAGATGAGGATAACATAACATCAAGCGACATGCATGCACATTAGTGGTGAGTTAAAGCCATAACTGAGGCCTAATGTCACACTTACACGTACTTTCCTTTGTCACACTGATAAAAATAATACAAAAAAAAAAACCACTCTTTACATTAAAAATGCCCCTTCATGGCTCACAAATGTATCAAACTGTGGTGCTTATTACATGAAAGCGTTCATGTTGATGCTGCAGGATTTTGGGTGACCTGCCCTCTGCGAGACCCCGACACGCTCTGTTAAAGCCGTGGATGTACATCATATATTCACCATAGGATTGATGCTTTCTGATACGCAGATTTCATTTGACTGTTGCATGTGCAACTTGTTCGACTCTTCATCATTCAATGTACTGGAAAAAAATTAAATATAATATGAAGACGTAAGTCAGAGCAGCACACGGTCTGTACATGGTGTTTAACTCTTGGAACAATGGCACCCTCTACTGGCTACAGCATGACACTGCAGCTGGTAGTCACCACTGAGGAGTGTGTTGTAATGCGGCAATTCCCTTCACTGAGTCATGGTTTTGAAATAAGCATATTTTGGATTTATTTAGTCATGAGGAAATTGTGCAGATGCATGACTAGGCAGGGCGCTGAGGAAGTGAAAATGTAAAATCTATCAAGGATCATATAAAACAGGAACTGGGTTTTGTTTCTGTAAAGTGGCCAAGTTAGCAACAAACCCTGCACACATAAAAAAAGGAGGAGGAGGAGGCAAATGAGTAACCAGGATCAGGGTGCTCATCCGCCACACAAAGTATTTCATCCTCTCCTCTGATTCCTCCTTAAATGTCCTCCATCACATGGACTCTCAGGCTGGGAAGCCAGCACAGAGAGTGTGTCTCCAAAGTCTGTGTGGTCAGAGCGAGATGTTTAAGTACCCTTAGAAGTCACTGAGGATGCTGATGTCGGCGAACTCTTTGCGGTAGCGGTGAGCTGACAAGGTGAGCAGGAAGGACCACTTGAGGCTCATGAAGCTCCACACACAGGACAGGTAGAGACTCCGAGGGTTAGTCAGGGCTGTGGGGGCGAGAGACACACACCATGACCATTAACCTGCTGATTTAACAGCTGACTTTCCTCAAGATGTTGTAACCTGGCTGCACTCCCATTCAGCCACGTGTCAGTGAGGTCGGCCACTGACATTGGGTGATAACCCCAGGACCTATACTTAGATAAACTTTTGAGAATTACACTTATGAAATCTTAATAGATCCAACTCAGGTGTGAAAATGTTCTCCCTGAAAGTGATGAGTAAGATTTATTGAGCGACCTAGTTACTGCAAAGTGAGTAACCTTTGAGAGCAACTCTCAGGCGATCACATGAATTCTCTGATTATGTCAGAGATAAGGATTTACGCTACTATGCCACAGTAGCCAGTCTTTTAAAACAGTCATACAATATAATATTCTGCAAATACACGTGTGCTTTAAAGTTTTTTAAGTTCAGTTTTTGTGTGACATACTTAATGTCTACAGTAGCATCAACCTGTGAATTTAGGAGTTAAAACAAAAGGAAATTTTCTGCAATGGAAACAAAAAGTAAACCAACAGGAGCAGCAAAGAAATGAAATGAGAGTGAAAAATCAAGAGAAAATTACTACCAGCTTTGTACTCGTTTGAACGCATCATAAACGTAATAAATACCAAAAAAAAATAAAACAAAAAAAACAACACCAGCAATTGATAGGGCCATTTGTATATTTTTATTTTTCAGTGTCAGTTACCATAGCTGGCCCCTTCATGATGAGCCAAACAGCGCTGCAAAAAAACTGATTTTTTTTTAACGTACAATTGCTTTCGTCAGTGTTTCTACCTGTTTAAATCTCGGGGTCTGTTTGTTTTGAAGAGGAAGAGACTTTTACTGATAATTCAGCTCCCTGTAAAAACCTCCTGAACGTCTGACTCTTAAGTTATCAGAGAAAACAGGTGTGCACATATTAGCAGGTCCTGGGCTAGCAAACAACCCAAACAGTGACAGAGAAACACTGATTGGTAACATGAAACTGCCTAAACAGTATATTTTACCAGTTTTAATCACCTAGTTTTTTGTGCTGGAGAAGAAGAGACCTCCACAGATAATTCAGCTCCAAGGAAAAACATCCTGAACAATGAACACTCAGAGAATCCTAACCGGGAGTTTATGCTTGGCACACAGGGAGAAGTTTCATCTGGTTGCAATCTGCAGTCCTCACTGCTGCTAGATGCCACTATATCCAACACACTGCTCCTTTAAGTAACATTTTGGATTCAGGACTAGTAATGGAGTATTTCTTCTACCACCAAGACACCTGGGGTCATATTCACATAGCTCCTAACTTTAAACCTAAAAACCTAACATTTTGTAGCAAGGAGTACTAGTGTAGTACTTGTGAATTAGGAAAGTGCTCAGAGCAACTCTGAGCAAGAAAGGAACAGAAACTTTGACCTTAGTGAGGAGGTGTGGTTGACCCTGTTGTTAGGTATGATGCATTCTTTTAACAGATGTGATTGGTTGTCCTTTTTTATGGACCATGGACACCCAGTGGACATGAAAGTAACTGTGTCACATTATGCGACCATGGAGGTGCTGTGATTGTTTGTGTGATCACTCTGCTGAGGTGGTTTGAAATGGACCAAAGTCATCACTGCTGCACTGTTGCATTTTGCCAGTTGCCAAATATCTTATAGTTGTGATCACTATATTTCTGACATTACTGCGCTTGGTGGGAGATGTGAGCGCATCTCAGATGAAATCGACCACAAACATTATCCCTGCACGATCTGATCTGTAGCATTTCATTACTCACTGTCTTCCAGCGTTTGAAGAATATTTCTCCGACCTCTTTGTCTTTCTGCCATTTCCCCTTCTTCTGAAGAAACTCTTAAGTCCTTCTCCATACTCCAAACAGTTTTTCACCTTAGGAGCTCTCTTAAGGGATAAGATGCTTTATGAATTATTTTTATCTTTACCAGAATCTAGTCTTAACATGCTTAAAAAACATGCTTCCTTGAAATTTTGTCAGTAGGATCAACTCTTTGTACTAGGAAGCTTTGTGACTACAGACCCTGAAGCTCTCTTAAATGTAAAGGAATTTAACTTACCTTAAAATAGCTTTTATTCTTACATTACTTTCTTTACTTTAATCTTTCATTTACGTCACGGCCCAAACCATGAAAAGCCAAATAGAATGTTAAAAAGGATGAAGTTGAAACAGCAATTTTTCCATTAACTGTAGTCTTGAGGAATGAAAATGCACTGTACTTTGCATTTTGTGTAAGAGGAATGACGCTTTCTGGCAGTTTCTGAACTGGAGAAACTTGCCCCACCAGTCTCCCTCAGGACTGTCAAATGGGCATTCTGAGAACTGTGGAAAATGTGCACATGTAGTAAACATAAGAGTCACGTTCAGGTGGAGCTCTCAGTCATCAGGTTATCCAGGTAATTTCAGTAATTTTGTTTCCCTGCATCTTTTTGTATCTGTTTATAGTGGTCAGCTGTGACATAAAAATCCTTTCGTTGTGAGCCACAGTGGGTCGCCACCAAAACATTTCAATTACGTATTCAAACATACACTAACATTTTGTATGATGGGGCACTTAGCTGTGTGTGTTCATTACCACACTACATCAGCACATTTGGAGAGGAACAACTGTGTGAGACAGTCAAGCGATGAAGAAGTACTTACACTCCTTGTTGCTGATGGCAACAGACAGGAAAGTGATGAAGGCCACGACTGCTAAAACAGAGAAGAAGACCCCCATGAAGAAGAAGAACTTGAGGCCCTTCAGCCAAGTCCTCCAGTAGTCCTGCAGGTACATGACGTGAGTGATGAGGGTCCAAAGTGCCAGCACACCTGAGGGACAAACACAACAACACGACACGTGAGCTTATTGCTTTTTAGAAAGGATGCTGTATTAATCTAATAACTACAAATTCATTTTTGACAATATATTTTGTTTCCATGTCATCCCAATATGATGTAAGAACAAACTAACAGTAATGTTTTAGGCTACTTTTTATCTTTTTGGAGCCATGATGTTAGTGTCACACGGTGATGCAGGTACAATAATATCAAGGCACTCCTATGCACTTTGGAGTTTCAGCATGTCGCTCCCGCTGCCTTTCTTTACATACCACCAAGATTTTTCCTTTGTCCCATCCTGTGAATGGTATTAAAGCCCCCTGTTGTTTGGCTGGAATTGTGCTGTGTTTGTTTCCTATTAACACTGCATTTTATTTTTAGCACACACACAGAACAAACAGCTAGCGGACCGTGAGGAGCTTACTGGATTAGAATCGCTGACCTTTAAGACTAGTAATAATTTTTAAAAAATGGAAGCCATGAAAATAATAATGTGAATGTTTGTTTCTTCCTTTAAAAAGTAAGCAACTGACTGTCAAAGCCTTGATGTTGTAGTTTCCTTGAATGCACCAACACAGAAAAGATTTTAAAAACGCTCTCTGCTGATGATTTACCCGGACATACATTCCAGCCGCAGCATCTAAATCTAAAATCTGATGGTATGCTTCTCAAACACCGAGTGTAATATAAGTGTACAGTGAGCTACAACACAGTGTTTAAAGCAAACACACTCACAGCTGACATTAACTGGGGCTGTGTATTGGCAAAAATAGAATACATATCACGATACAGGGGTTATGGTTGTATGTATTGTGATAAATTGCAATACTGTTAGCAAGGTGATATATTGTGATAAAATCACAAAATCTAATTTTATGAAAACTGTCATTGTTAAAAGAACACAGCCCCATATGCATGAAAAAGTTAGCTTTTTAAAGCATTCAGAACGGTAACTTCTGTATTAGTATTTATCACAGTCACTGTAACATCCCATATAACAGCAATACTTTTTGTGCCATCTGAGTAAAGGAATTAAAATTTGCCTACATCAGTAAAAAAAATATAAAATAAAATGACATTAAAAGTGCTTGCAGGATTCTTTATGTAAACAAATAAATAAAAAATTGTAAACAATTAAAGTTGATAATGTTTTTGAGAATTGATACTGCATCACAAAAGATGCTATTGCAATACTTAATTGTATCATTTTTTTCTTACACCCCTAAAATTAACTCCTCACATGTCACAGACATTGACCAGTGTTTGGACGGTCATGAACTTCTGGTGGTACGAGGGGTCAGAGTGCATTTCAGACACATCGTGACACAGCATGTTGCCAAGTGCTGAGTTAATGAATCACACTTCTTTCTTCATGTTCCCCTTTTCACAGCCGCAGGATTGTGAATCTCTGCCACATGTAACAGCTAACCTGACTGACAACCCTCGCTGAGTCTGACAGTGTAACAGAGGGAACTGGGCTGTAGCAACCTGACAGCAGCTCCAGTGTTTCCAGTGAGGGTTGGTTGCATGTATGCAGGTCACTAACCATAGCTGTGCCACAGATAGACAATACTACACTTTATGATCTTGAATAAAAATCACAAAAGAGCCCAGGTGAGTCAGTTTGATCTTTGGGAACTTGTATTATGGTTTAACAACACTGGTTACAGCACATCCTGAGAACAGATGAGGGCAGAGGTTACAGATATGGACCTGCAAACCTCAACAGTAACTCAAAGGTCATAACCATGGAAACAACTCTTCACATTACCCATTGCATAACTGCATAAAGCCAACTTTTGGGAGACTGAATGGGCTCTGACATTGCCATTTATAAGTCACAAATCTGAGCCCAGCATCATGTGCACATTAATTTTAACACTCACAGGGTAAAACCAGAACTAAAGACACAAAGCTTCATATTAAAATTTACTCTAGATTAATATAGGGCCGGGCTAAATATCGATATTCTATTAATATCGCAATACAAGACTAGATATCATCCTAGATTTTGGATATCGAAATATTGTAGTGTTGTCTTCTCCTGATTAATGGCTGCATTACAGCATTTTCTGAACTTACCAGACTGTTCTTGCTGTTCTGTTATTTGCCTTTAGCCACTTAGTCATTACACCCACATTATTAAACTATTATTTATCAAAATCTCACTGTGTACATATTTTGTAAGAGCACAAATAGTCAACCCAACAATATCACTGCAATATTGACATCATATCGCCCAGTCCCTTTTACTAACCTGGTGTAGCTACACATTTTGACAAATAAAAACCTGTCTCAATTAGATGCCTGATCTGGACTCGAGTGTCCTAAATCTCTCTTTCTGATGCGCTGTCTGTCCGAGATAGATCAAATGAATGACTCAGTTTTTATATACTATCTAAAGCCTAATTTTTATACAAGTAAGTGGTTCAAATAAACTATTTGATTGCATTCACCGAGCTTTGCTGAGAAACAGTTTAAAGGCCTGTCTCAAATATAGGCCTGTTGTATAGCATATAATAGCCCGGGCTACTAATTGAAGTTTTACAATGAACAAAAATGAACTTGCGGAGACTTGAACTTATAGCTGCCTGAGAGTTTGGGTAAAAACCTCTTAAAAAATGTGCAACACTAGAACATGCATTGAAAAACCATGTTAAATAATATCAGATACAGGCAATTTATATGTAGAATGACACATGCAAAACACTGATACTGACACTGATTAAATATTTTCCGGGGCGTTTTGTATATCATTATTTTGTTACATAATTGTATACAGTCTGGTCCATGTTTTAATAATTCTGCATTTCATAATGATTTTAATCTCCAATATTTTCACTAGCTTCTATAATTTTTTCCATGATCACTAAAGTGGTCCAAAAGTTGACCCTTGCACACAATGACAAGCTGAAACCAGTCAGATAAGAATTAAAAATCTGCTGCTGCCCTGATACTAAACAATACATTATAACCTGCCTATATGACACTGTTCATTTTCATGTGTGTCCTTCAAAAACAAGTCAGCCCTGTGATCTCTGTCAAACTGAAGGCTCATTTTACAACCTGCAGGTTTGGTACAGGGCACCTTCTGCCTGAGGAGGGTCACTGGTGTTAGAGCCGAATAAAACCACACACACACACACTGTGGTTTACTCTCACACACTGAAAGGAAAAGACACAGTGTCCGACACACACACACAGTGTTTACTCTACCTGACAGTCCTCCCATGGCTGCAGTCCACGGCTGTTTGAACGCGATGTTCCACGCCAGGAAAGCAGAAAAGCCCATGAGCATACCAAACGAGGCATAGCCGATACTGATGTATGTTTTATTCACCGCCATCTTCACTGAAGCAGAGGTGGTGGGAGAGCAGGGGCACGAGCTCGACGAAACGAGGACCGTGTGTGTGAATGTGTGTGTGTGAAGCAGCGGCGAGCTGGTAATTTCAAAACAACTGTATCCGGTTAAACCGCAAACGAGCCCGAGAGGACCAAATGTGACGAGTCGCGTGCGCCCTGCTGACTAATGACTGCTGTTATACACGGCGCACGGGGCAAGTGTGAAACATGACAAAGCGTTTCTGATCAGTTCTTGTCTTTCTTTTTTTTTGGTCCAGCTGCAAGAAAAAAAACATTGCTTCAGTCTACGTCATCTGATACCAACCAAAGAGACCGTGCTCAGCCTGTAACCATGTACCTCTCACAGTGAGGGTGGACACAGCGCCCCCTGCAGGAGCAGAGGACACATAAGACATGTCAGCTCTGTGGAGAAAATGAAATGGTTTTTTTTTAAACAAATACTTCAATATCAATATTGTGACAATACTGTAGACTATTGGTGCCTTCACAAAATAACTACACACAACAGATTTTCTTATTAATAATTATCATTTACATGGATATACCGCAAAACTTCTATTTTGAGTCCCAATTAAACGCCCAGTCTCTTTTAGTGGCCTGGCGTGGCTACAGGTTTTGACAAATAAAGGCCTGTCTCAGTTAGACACCAGAGGCCTGCACTGCGAAGCCAGTTCAACTTACCCAGGATATCTCGTTATCTGGTTTGACTAACCCTAACATTGTCTGTCTGTATAATTGGCTCTACGAAGCTGGTTATTAACTAGTTCAGTCAACTCAAACTGGAGCGGCATCATCAGAACCATGAATGAAGCAAGCTGCTTCATATAACATGTGATGAAACAGTACAGAAAGTGTCTGCGACTACAAGACAGTAAAATGTCAGTGTGAACAACAATCTGTAATTTTAAAACGGAAAATCTAGAAACTTTAAAAAAACACGATCCAAAAATTCAGCCTCAGCAGAGACTTATAGAGCACTTTTTACTGTTTAGTTGGACGATGATGAAACTCGTCTGAATGTGTCACATAAAACACTTTAAAGTAACACCAAACTGTTTCTGCTGCTGAAGTTAAGTGTGGAAAAGTAGTTAACTGAAATGTTGCATTTATAATAATGGGAGCTAATTAACAGTGTGTGGATTGTTTAACTAATAAAATATTATCTGTTCAATCCTAGTTCTCGTCACACAGGTGTCTAATGTTATTTTGAGCTGTGGTGATGGAATCAGAGCGTAAAAGTAGCAGCACTGTCACTGCGGACCAAAATAAACTTTGCATGATTTCAAGTAGTGCTAAAATCATGTGTTTAGTGTTGTCAACGATCTCTGTTTGTTAGAGGCTCTGTTTTAAAACCAGTGGAAATAGAGTCCCGTAACAGCATATAGGCTCCTCTTTTTACCCGAGACTCCGGATTTTTGTCCATGGATACCTTTTGCTTCAGTGATCCCATTGGTCAGAGGTTAGGGTGTTGACAGGCTCTGGTCCGATACCCTGAGGCTTCATAGTGCTGAAAATCCTGAGTTAACCCTGACGTTAGCTCGCTAACTCCAAATCCTGCTTTGTAGTACAGACCACAGGTCTTATTACCAAGCAGTTCATTTTTATAGAAGTTCTTTGGATGTAGCCTATAAAACTGGAGTGTTGGCTATCCACCTGAGCTAATGTTAGCTAGAATGCTTGAATGTTTAAAATTGTCAATATGGAGATGCTACACATCGTTAGCTCTGTTGATTTCATTTTACTGAAACCATGAGCACCAGAGAAGACCGTAATTCATTCAGATTTACCAGTATGATAAATAAATAAGCATTGACTTCCTTCCTCTGAAGCTGTCAGAATGTGTGTCCATGCCTTGATTACCTGCTAAGTTATTCATATCCCTTTGGTCCATTAAGGTCCACCGATCCAAAGAGTTTTTAGTGTGATGAATAGTGATGATTTAGAATTAAAACATGATGTATATTAATCTGCTAATAATTAGTTTTAATCGCTTAGTGTTCACCATTAAATGTTATGTTTAGGACTGGAACTTCAGGCCGCTGTACACATTATTGTCGGCCCAGTTTACTATGCAACTCAATTTTCTGACTCTCTTTTCAGTTAAGAGGTCATTGGCCTGTTCAAGTAAAAGACTTGAAAATATTGTCAGATGTGTCGTCAAGTGTAAACGTACTGAGAGCAGTAAATTGTGTGAACAGTGAAAGTTGTGGGAGCTAAAAGGACTGACTAATGAGTTAGTTTTGTTGCGTTGTTCAAAGGTTAAGACCTGAGAGGGCTGAGGTGTAAAGAAAGTGTGAGCATTGAAAGGAGAAATTATTATGGTTTTATGCAAGAATTTTTATTTTTGAACATTCAAACTTTGTGTTAAAATGCAGTGTGTAGCATTAAGTGACATCAAGGGGGTGAGGCTGCAGACTGCAAAAATATAAATGGCCCCATCTAGAGCCAGTGATAGTTTGTCTGCTTTGGGCTACTATAGAAACAACATGGAGGACTTCAAAGAAGAGGATCCACTCTGTATGTAAATATAAAAAGCTCATTCTAAGGAGACGAAAACACTTGAGTGCTAGTTTCAGGTGATTACACACTAATCAAGACATAGTTATGAATATAATATTCCATGTATGCCAGTATATCCCCCTAAATCCTACACACTGGACCTTTAAAGTAATTTCTAATGCAACATTTAACATTCACTGGGCTTTGGTAGTCACTTAAAATGTCCAATTTGTGCCAACATTTGAACCTGTAATGCTTCTGTGATTAAAAATTACACAACCAACATGAGAAAAATCAAGTTAACAAATCGAATTACAAAAATCCATCACCAATTTTAGTAATCAACCATGTATGTTGTTTTTTTGAGAACATGCCATTTGCTGCTTCTGTCAGTCTTGTATGATCATAAACAGAAAGCATCATACATAATCACTGCAAGCTCGGGTTCTGGGAAATTGAGGTAGATGTGTTTCACTATTGTCTGAAATTTTGTCGACAAAATGACAACAACAATTGAGTGAAGGATCAGCAGCTTAATGAAAAATACAAAAGTATTTACAGTAGATGCAGCCTTACAACAGGGCACCTTTGGAAAGTAGTAAGATGAGTAAACATGACAAAGAAAACGCAGCCTCAGTTTCACACTGCAAACAGGATCTGGCTGTCGCAACAGTCATTTCAAAGTAAAAGGAAATTAAAAAATATCTGAAAATGTATTCATGGCTAAATGAAAACATACGCAAAAGAGAGATCACACAAACAAAACACAAACGTCCTCATGACTAAATCAAACTAATGAGACAAATATAAAAGAAAAGATTACATTCAACCCACCACCTGAAGAGAACAAAAAATAGTCTATGACAGCAGTGTGATGACGCTCAAGCTGCGACATCAGTTTATAACAGACTTGGCAGGTAGTAACGGAAGAAGAATTCATCCAACTTCTTCTTCATGACCTTGATGATGGCTTTGTCTCGGTAGATGCGTTGAATCAGCATGTGTTCTCTGGAGAACACCAACAGATCGCACCACTCCATACCCGTCACCATCATCTCTCCTTGGATGTGCCAATAGTAGGAGTGGGACCTCTTCAGTTGCATGACTCCATCCTGGCAGAACAGGAACTTGCATTCGACGAAGCTTCGCAACGCAATGCATTTGACATGCATAAGCCCGTAACTGTGTGTTTCACTGGGGTCATACACCAACCCATCAGGCAGTGCCCCCAGCCACGGAGCTTCCGGATGGACAACCAAACCGCAGGGGGACCAGTTGACACATAAATGCTGACAGTATTCCCGAAATGCATCGGCCTTCATTTCCTCCTCTATATGTTCCGTCTTGCACCTTCGGGTTCCTTTCTGTATCTTGTATATCAGGTAGTCCGCATTGCTCTGACCGGGTTTAAGTTTGCAAATCTCCCTGAAACGGCTGGTCAAGCGCAGTTTCCGCAGATCCTGTACTACCTCCTTGCGTCCACGTGTGGACTGCTCAAGACTGTGTGCTGCTTCCCAGGTAATCTGCATGACGTCCACATGTTCCTGTTCCTTGACACTGAGGGTAGGAAAAGAAGGCATTGGCCCCAGTTCATGATGGCGGAGGGGAAGCGGCGGTCGAGATGGAGCATTGTCATAAATGATGTGATCCCGAGCTGACGGCACAGGGTGCTGGTAGGACAGGGGGCACCCTTTGGGGACTTTACCAAAAGCACAATCCACATATTCCACATTCTCTGTGAGGCCCATTTTGGTTATCAGAGGCTTCTTGTCCTCTGGATAGTCCTTGAAGGCTTCAGTTAGCCTTGCCAAAAAGGACTTGCACTCACTTGGGCTAGGAATGAAGGACTGGTAGGGTACCCTCCTGTATGAAACACGTTGATATCATTAGAAAAAAAAATACACACAAATATTATGACACATTTAAAAACTGCAGACAGAGTTCACTGTACTTACCTAGGTAATTCTAGCATGGTTTTCTGCAGGGGCGACACTGGCGTCTTCCGGGCAGCGAGAAGAGAAAAAAATCATTACTTCAGGCTTTAGATGATAAAAACAAACCAGGATTGCAATTCAACAATAGAACCACCACAGGGAGTCATTTTTACCCCCCCCCCCCACCCCCTTCTGTAACAGCATCAGCCATGAAAAAGCTGTCATTTCTTGAAGCAGATAAGCTGTTAATTTTTGTCCTTTATGAGAGACTTGATAAAATAGCTATTTTCAATTAGTTTCATGTGGTTTGTAATTTTAAAATTATTTTAGGCTACTTCATTACAAACCAAAAATGGCCAAAAAATATCTTTAAAAAAAAAAAAAAAGGTCAAATAGGGTACATTTAAAATTCTTTGTACAGACCTATAACAAACACAACCACATAATTCATGCATTTAAATTAAAAAATTGTAGAAGAAAAAGACTAAAATCTAAATGAATATGACATAGGCTAAAAAATGTTTTAAATAATACTGTGAATGAAAAATAAAACAGAGTTTGCCGTTGATTGATTTTACAGTAGCTTTATTTCATTACAGATTGAAAATCGATTAAGTACATTTTAAAATTAAAGTTTGAACAGCAATGACAAAACCTAACATTTGAATAAGTTATAGTCAGACAGAAATAAACAATATTGTTTTACACAAAGAAACGGAGCGTGCGGTCTCTCTCTCTGTTGGTCTTTCTGCCTCTCACATACAGCGCAACCACACAGCTAACCTGAACATCAAAATGTCAAAATCAAAGATGCTACATGAACTGCACATTCAATAAAACTGATCTTACATGAAAACAAGGAAGGAAGCGAGTAAAATAGGGTGTCTGCGGGGTCTTAAAAAGTATTTTTAAAAAAAGTCCAAAAAAGTTAATAACTTAAAAATTATGGCAAAAAGGTAGTTTCTTGCAACCCTAGAATTAAGATAAAAATATTTACAAACAAAAAAACATTTCTGGTTGCTGATAAGTAGTGTTTAACTTTTGATTTTTAACACTAAAAATTAAAACCCTCAGCGCGCATTGCAGCGCAAGCAGACAGATACGCGACTCAGAGCAGCATGTGTCACTGACACCAGACTCAGTGCAGCGGACCAGTGGAAAATGTCACCATCAGCATATTATTTTACATTAATAAAATCTATTTTATCATTATTTTGAGTCACATTGTTGAAAGAATTTAGTCGTCTGTGTTCAATCAGGATAACAGGTCTCCATTCATTGCACGTCTGGCTTTCTATTTCCTTGTCGGAGATGTTTTCTTTTTTAATTACATGATAGCTTTTCTCCCTTAACTCACCAGTAAAGAATACCTTTGTCCATTTCAAATAACCCGTGGCAACAATAATATCCCTGTTCTCTGATTTACTGTGAAACTTTTTTAGGCAATTCATGCAACAATCAGACCAGATGACTTCTTTACCGGCCTAATGGGGCCGGCCTTTATTTGTCAACCAACCAAAAACAATCAATCAATTAAAAACACAAATTGGAACTGGAACATGAAATCTTATATGCCTAACAGACAGACATTGCTTCTCGTTCTTTGAGTTTACATATGGCTAAAGGGGAAAAAAACAACTGTAAACAGACGGCATGATTAGTGTTGCGTTCAAGGTCCCCCAAAAAACGGGAGAAAAAAAAGGCTGAATATTGTAAAAAAAAAAAAAAAAAAAAATCATCGAACATCGAACAAAGCTTTGAATTTTTTGGGTCAGCCCTAAATCCCACATGCAAGGGGCTAGCCATAAGGTTGTTGTTTTCATCAAGTTGGCCTTAAATAGTTGATGTTGAGCTGTAGAGTTGTGTTACTTGTTATGACCTAAGGTGTATTTTAATAAACCTGTCTTTGGTTTAATTTATTATTTCAAGCTGTATTCCTTCTCATCTTATCTGAGTTCTGTTGTATGTTTGTGCTCCATAGATTTAACTGCAAACTACAACTGTTTAGTAAGTTAAAGATGCGTTGCTGCTAACGACAGCTTGAAGTGGCGATGAGGTCTTAAAGTTTTTTTGGAAGGTCTTAAAAAAGTCTTAAAAAGGTATTGAAATTAACCTCAGGATTCCTGCATATACCCTGGAGAAGATATCCGGAAAATCACAGATAAGCTCCAACAGACACACTTGCAACAAGAAAAACTATTTACAGTAGCCTACCCACTCACACACACTACTCACAATCAGCACACACACTGTACACTTTAACGGTGCACTGTCCACACACTGCACGGAAGCACATCATGCATGTTTTTGTAGTTTTGTTTTTTGTGCATTTGCGCTTCACAGTACAATTCCTCCTCCTCTGCTCGGGGATGGTCGGCAAGGGAGATGACACTGTAGCGTGTGCTCGCGCAGACAGACGACTCACACTGACATGCTCACTGCGCAGCTGTTTGCAGAGCTCCAGAATGAAGTGTCGCCGGGTCGTGTTGGCAACCACGCAGCGCCGGTACAGGACCCAGGCATTCAGTGTGGCAATGTCCAGTACATTATAAAATACTGCGACTGGCCATCTTCTTGTTGCAGCTCGGGCCGAGTATCGCCTCAGCATCTTGTCCAGCATGTCAACTCCCACCTTTGTTCTATTGTAATAATGGATTGTCTCTGGCTTCTTTTCTGCATCATCGCATATCTCCACTGATGAATGCAGGGTGCTGAGGATGCAAACATTCTTTTTGTCTTCCCCCTGATAGAGAGTGAGTGTGGCTCTGTCATTCTGCAGCACTTTTGTGTCGTGCAGTGCAGCTTTCTGGTGCACAGAAGGAGGCAGGGACCGTCTGTCTTTGTTGATGGTGCCCACAAGGCTGGTGTTTTTGGCCAGGAGTTTGTGGGCAAGGGAGAGTGATGTACAACGGGTGGTTACATTTCTCCCCTTCCCTACGAAAGGCTCCATCAGTTTCAGCACCACACTCTCCTCTAGGCTCTGTGTTGCGGGGCGACTTGTATCTTTCCCCAGATAAGGAAAGCCATTTAGCATGTATTTTGTCTCTACATCAGCAGCGAGCCAAAACTTTATGCCAAATTTGTCTGGTTTATTGGGCATATACCGGGAAAATGGGCAGCGCGACTTTGTGGGGAAGAGCTGTTCATCAACAGTGATTTCTGCCCCTGGATTATAACAGGCGATGCTGTTCTGAATCAGTCTGTCCCACACCTCACTGATGAGGGCAAACTTGTCACCTGAGAGTCGGGTGTGCCTGGTGTCTTTGCGGTCAAACTGCAGGTAGCGCATAATCTCCCTGTACCTGTTCCTGGACATGGTGGTGCTGAAGAAGGGGAGACCCCATTCATTTGACCAGAAATCGTCCACGTCTGCATTCATCCCATAATGCACTCCCCTGGCTAACAGGAGTGCAATGAAGGCTTTCAGCTCAGCCAGGCTCAACTCCCAACCGTCTAATCCACACCGACGGGCCTCTGCCACCGTACAGTCGCAGATGTGTTGCAGCATGACACGATCCACCAAACACATGAACGCACTCAAATAGTCATCAATGTTAGAGCGTGCATGTGCAGTTGGACCAGCTGCTTCAGTCAAGGTGCTCTGTGACTGCGCTCTCTCAGTGCGTAATCCCGGCTTTATAAACTTCCACACAGTCCCATCATTTCCAGTTGCATGGCCCTCACACATATCGGGTTGATCCGACACTATAAAAAAATAATATAAAAAATAAAATTAGTTTTGCTAGTGCAGTAATCTTGCTAGAAACTACTGAACGACAGTATATATATATATGTCAACACACCAAGTTCTAAAAAACTGGACCAGTTGGGAGCCACATCAGACCAAAAACCAGACACAGAGAACCACAGATTAAAAGAGTAAAGCACAATTTATTTAAAATAGTGATAAGCACTTTCAGGACTGGACTGCAGGTGGTGACAGCAAAGCCTTCAGTCACCAGAGGGGGGCTGGTTGGCTCTACAAAGACATACGAAAAGTTAAAAAACAGGTCCAGGCATGTGGGTCACCATAAAATCAAAAGAGGTTAAAAGAGGTTCTGTTACCTCAGTGCTTTTGGTGAGAACTTGTGGTCCAGACCTTTGTGGTGATCCAGGGGCTGGTCATTAAGTTCCTCCTGTTCAGCATATCAATTCAAGTTTGGGCAGCTTGGTCCTTCCATCGCCTGCTGATCATAATGTGGAGATCAAAGGTGAGAGGGGGGAGGGAGAGCACAGATGAGGAAGCATACTTTCTCTTGGCCGGTTAGCCTGAGCTCCTTTTGAGAGGGTTTTCCAGGTGAGGAGAGGGTCCTTTTTGTCTTTCACTGCAGTGTCTTGTCCTTCGCCCAGCTCTATCCTTTGTGAGCTTCTGAAACACAGCTTATACATACACACTCACTCCATACTAATTAATCACTGCCTTTCAGGTGTCACCTCACAGGGTGCATTCAAGTGCACTGCTAACTATAGGAAAATCACAAGTTAAGGCTGGTTCAGGCTGTTCAGACAAGCTGTGGGCAGTCCAACTTCTTGACACATGTATTAAGGCAGTAGAACAAATATACCTGCATACAGTGACCAAAATACTTTGAGTCTATGTTACTCTTCAGCTTACCGCACTGCATACCACCCAGGTCTGGTGGAAGCTGACTATCATTAGCAGCGCCACTCATTCGTCCATTACTGTTAGTAATGCGGTTCCAATACAGGTTGTACCTCAGGTCACCTTGGTGAGTAAGTGGCTTCAATATAAATTTTTCTTTTAGTATTGTTATATGTTAGCATCACTAGTCATCCTGACATTGCTAATGGTGATAACATAGTCAACAATACTAAAAGGGTTTTAGCCTACAGCTCAAAATTGAGCCACTTACTCACTGGGGGGTGGATACAATATTTCCACAGCAATGTGGTCGGGTTGGTACAGTAATGGCTTAATGAGCGGCACTGCTAATGATAGCTAGCTCCCACCAGATCCGGGTGGTGTGCAGTGCAGTAAACTGATGGGTGACTTAGACTCACAGTATTGTGGAAACTTTATATGGCATATTTGCTTTGCGGCCTTAATACATGCACACACAAGTTTAATTGCCCGCCTCTTTGATTGCCACCTTTGGGACCAATTATTCAAGAGAAATCACGAAAATACTACCAAGAGACNAAACCATTTCAGGTGACTACCTCTTGAAGCTCATGGAGAGAATGCCAAGAGTGTGCAAAGCAGTAATCAGAGCAAAGGGTGGCTATTTTGAAGAAACTAGAATATAAAACATGTTTTCAGTTATTTCACCTTTTTTTGTTAAGTACATAACTCCACATGTGTTCATTCATAGTTTTGATGCCTTCAGTGAGAATCTACAATGTAAATAGTCATGAAAACAAAGAAAACGCATTGAATGAGAAGGTGTGTCCAAACTTTTGGCCTGTACTGTATATATATATATATATATATATATAAAATCACATATATTTATATATCTTTATTATATATATAATTGGTAAACGCGTTGTAAGAGTGGGGGCTTGCCTGTCACAACATCAGAGGGCTGCTGTGATTGTGAGGGTGAAGCGGGCAGAGCCTTTACCACCGGAGGCCTGGGCCTTTTTCTGAATGCCGGCTCGGGTTCCTCATCTTCAGATGACTCCTCCTCGCCAGGTGAAAAGGACGGATCATCGGTCTCTCCCTCGTCGAGTTCTTCTTCTCTCATTTCCACCGTTGTGTCTGCCCCGTCCGTCTCTCCCTCAATCACCTCTCCCCCATCTGACTCTCCGTCACTTATGTCCTGAAGCATCACCAGAACTTGTTTGACATTCATCCATTTTCTCCAGTTCATAATTAGGCTACACGATCCAAATCCCTCACTTTTCCTCTTTTCTATCTGTCTGTCTTTCTGTCAAAACAGCTAGCATTTCAGTTACAGTTACAGTATACAGCAGTTTCTGTGGGGGATAAAAATGACTCATCCACGGTTCTAGGTATAAATGATCTTTTTTTTTTCCTTGTCATCCCACACCCCTCATAATTCACCAGATGATTATTAAACCCATGTTAGTAAAAGTCACGAACTGAGAGATGTTATTATGGGTGACAAAGCATTTGAAAATTTTTACCAGTTGTTATATAACAAATTTCTGAACCTAGAAATTATTACATCCATCTTTTTGTGGCAGTCTCATTTGACTGAGTAACAGTTTGGTCGGTTTATGCTAAAAATGTATATATAATTATATAGTCATATTGAGATAGTTAGTCAAGCTAGATTTTCTGGTTTGATAACTGCTTGTGCAAATTTAAGAAATTAAGTTTGCTTAAAAAGGTAGACTATGCATGATTTTCTTTAACAGGAACACACAGTGTGTAGGAATTTCTCCCATCTAAAGTTGAACTCATATATTGCGTTCAAACAGATAGCGCATTCTAGTGCCTCACTGTTTCAAACGTGTATTGCAACAACGGTAGCCGCTGTGTACCAAAAAGCTATGATAACATTGACGAAACCATGTCATCTGATACTTGATGGAGTATTCATTCAGGCTCCTACACAGACACACACGACACGAGTTGACAAACCCCCTCCTCACCATGCTGGCTGTGTTTACAATGTAGGACTGTTGGAGCGGGGGTATATAGAAACAAACCAATCACGTCTTGTCTTTTGACAACTTACAAGTGGCTCAAGTTCACACACCTCATCCCTCGCCACTGACAACGGCGCTGGCCTGTGATTGTATCAGTCTGGCCTGCCTGTTAGGGAAAAAATGACAGGCAGGTCAGCAGGCCAATCACAGCATCCCTTTTAAAACCTCTCTCCTTCAGCAGCTTTTTCCACCCGGGAAAGGCTACTCTGATGCTGACACTCTGGTCACGTTTTGGATTCCCTTTTGCGCTTTCTTTCCGTCTCCCGTGATGCTGCATGTGCATGATCCTGCATTTTGCTCAAAGAGTGGGACTTTGTTATGCTGCAGTAGTGCCAGGGTAGTAGTGAAGCGCCTCTTGCTCCTCTCCTTTGGCTTCTCAGTCACGCAGCGCTGGCCTGGCTCTCAATGAAAACGCCAAAGGCGGGCCTTGTAGTGCTATATGTCCCTTGCTGGTGGGTGTATTTTCAAGATGGTGAACGTTATGGAACCCCCCAAACGACTTGCTCACACAATGTACAAATAAATATGAAATTCTCCTTTCATGAGAATAAGTCAGGTTATTGGTAGAGGTAATAATACACCAATGATGATATTTATGAATGCAGACCTCAATTTTTTCCAATAAACAACTGAAAACGATGTTTCTCAGCATGTACTCTCACAGCACCCAGGTGAGCTCGGGCTAGGTAGCAACCAGGTGCCAGACTGTAAGCAGCTGCAGGCATCTAACAGAAACGCCTCCCTCCCCGCCCACAACTATGGAAAACTATTACAAAGTAACACTGTAAATGCGATCCGCAATCATTTCCTTCTTACTTTGTGATGGAAAATTCTGGTTTTTAAACATATGTAACCTATAATGTGTTGTATAAGGTTACTTGTTTTGATGAAACTGAACTTCTAACCTAATGATATGGGTTCCTCATTTAACCCCTACTGTGACAGCAGTGAGAGACACCAAGGTCACAAGCCAGGGAGGCTCAGACACCAAGATTATGAGCCAGGGAGGACAACAAGTGTCCTTGTTAGTCTGAAGAGATGCTGTGTTTTAGGAATGTCAAGGCGCCACATATTTTGACTGTTGATGCGCATGTGTTACGAGAACTATAAAGATAGCAGGGCGAGAGGACTTGCTAGGCACTCGCTCACTGACTGACTGTTCATGCAGTTGTATGTTTGTGTGTCTCCATTCATGAATGCTTATTAAAACTCAAGAAAGACAGCCGACGTGCGAAGACTTTTTCTTTAAACTGTTCATTAAATATTAGTTTTGCCACCACAACTTTTACCTTTAATTTCAGCTGCCAGCTGGTCTAAGAACACTGGACAAAAATTAACGAAGGGGTCAGGAACAACTACAACAGTTCACGTATACCAATTTCCCACCAAATTAGCTCTGACTCAAGAACTGGTTCTGTTCAGGGCTCTCTGAACCTTGGTACCATCGAGGAAATCATCTTACATTTCCACCAGTTTTGAGCAGAGCCATTGTAATTGAGGATGCGTCATTAAAACAGGGTGTTGCACAACGCACAATTAAAGTAGTGGTAGTAGTAGCAGTAGCAAAATGGCAGACTGCACTGATTACCTGCACGCTTTTGTTCTATCTAGTCTGCTAACAAAGTGCTCCAAAATCAAGGAAGTGGCAGAATTAATTGACTGACTAGTGACCCACATTGATATAAGGCAATTATCATCTATATATTTACCTTTTATGTTGTTGTTGTTTTTTTTTTAAACTGCATTAGAAAACCTCTCCAGCCTGTCACATTCAGATTTATACCTCAATTGTGTTTGATCAATGGGGTTCTAAGGTATCGAAACAAACTTACCTTTAAGCTATTCGCTGATTTTGTGTCATGTTTGTGATGTTCGGATGTTTGACTTGTGCTTTCTTTATTCCGGGATGGCTGTGGGACAACTGTGACTCCTGCATCTGAGTCCGATGTGGAGCTGAACTCATCTTCATCAGCTGAGACTGTGGCCGAAGAGTCAGGGTTGGACTCAACCACTTTGATATGAAATGAGTCCTTGATGTAGGGCATGCTTGTGTCTACTGCTTCTTCTTCTTCTTTTGGGTCGTTTTTCACACAATCTGGGGTAATAAAGTTATCAGCCTCCCCCGGCCCTTGTTGTTGTTGTCCTGATCCCCAGCTTATGTCATATTCAGTTTGCTCTTCTTTGGGTTTTTTGGGCAACGGTTCGGATATTCCCAAGTCCACCCTAGTGTTCAGCTCAGGGGGAGGATCTGTGACATCTGTGGCTGCCCCAGTGTAGTGGTTTGCATCTGTTGTGGAAAGAGAGACAACATTAGTACTTATAACCTATCCATCTCTTGCTTCAATGTCTTTCCTTCAAAGCTGTAATTCTTCTAACACACCAAAAAACAAAGTTGTAGGGCAGATGAAAATTGGAGACAATTGGAGAACTCAGATTTGGATGCACCCATACACTTTGGATGTTTTTTTTTTATTTTCTCTGTGCTTTTGTTTTTTTACTGATGTTTTGTTGGTTTATATACCCTGGCCCTGAGTAAAAAGTGTTTCATTTGAGGGATATTTTTACAGTTAGATTGAAGGAAGGGCAAATGACTTGAGAAAAAGTGGGCTTGTTAAGCACTTATAAAGTGTTGATTCAAGATCACAGCACAAATCAAATGTAAAGCTCACTTACAAACCACAACAAAAGTTTAAACATTAACATCTGACAGCATCGTGTTGGATGGACTGCTGTGGATGCATAACTTATACAAACAATATCCCTCTCTCAGCTAGCGTGCAAAAAGTAACGTTACTTCAGACAAAGCTACACCATGACCATAGCAACATCAGCTAAGTTAGCCTCCTCGCGTTACATTGTTTACTGCGACGTTTCACTATGGAGTTGAGCTAACGTTAGCGAAGTTAGCTCATTTTCAGGCTGATGCATATCAACTTAAGGTTCATTATTTCAACTATTCGAGTTAAGTTGTAGTAACTAGCGTTAGTAAGTTGTCAGATCTGTAAAGTAACCAAAGCAGACAAACCTATCTTCGGTATCTTTATCTCGGGGCTGAGCACCATGTGCAGTACATTCCTCAGATGTTTGTTTTCCTCGTAGTACGCCTCCACAATAGTTTCAAATTCTCCAAATATCTCCACAGCCACGGCGGTAAACCGTTCAGTTAAAAAGCCCCGAAACTTCTGTAGTTTAACGTCCGACATCTTGAACAATAATGTTTGATTAAAAAAAAATGTTCTGAGTTTAACTTCTCCTCGACGACTACCAACGCGCGCGAATCCTTTAAGGGCGGAAATCAACCGGAACTTGAATATAAGAACTTCCGTTTTGAAAATTCTTCTTCTTTTGTTTGTAATTTATTTTGGTACATGAGCGCCCCCATGTGCATTTGTACCGAATATGATAAAGCATCAACTAGACATCAATCAATACAGGGCTTTATAACCATTCCACGACCTGCTGGGGTCCTCCATGGCATTTAACATTATTAATTATATACTTTATATAATTTTATATATTATGCTATAGTAACGTTATACAGGCAATGTAATAGAAATTGATCACACAGGGAATAAAAGCTTCATTAACACAACAGATTGTGGAGGATACATTTGTTACATTACTCTGAATTAACAGCAACCAAAGCATCTCAAACAATGGCACATTAAGAACATTACATTATTCCTCACAGCTTGAAACCTTTACTGCTGAGGCCCATTTGAAAAACACCACTGCACCTGTCACGTGATGATGAGAGCTCGAGCGCATCTAAGGGCTTTATGGCTTTGTCCAGATGTTTGACGGAGCAACAGCTAGATGTCTTGTGCTTTCTGAGATATACTATCCAAAACCAAAGTAGAGATGAGGGTGATAGAAGATGTGCTGCATTTAAATAGCTACAGGTAAACCTGCTTTATATATTCTGTTTGCTAACATTGAAGTTTGAGTTTCTTTGACCCAGTTTAGCCAAGTGTTATTACAAGGAGCGACACAAAGTATGCTAGCTCACGTAACACACCGTTTAAATTATATTTGTTCATGAAGTAGGTGACATAGGTCCAACACAATGCCTAACAGTCAGGGGGGGCTAACAACCGAGCTAGCTACAGCTAACTTCACAACCTAACAATTTAGCTAACTACGTTTTAATGCTAAACATAGTTATAGTTATCTATACTTTGGGACGCTACTATAGTGTTAGCAAAATATTTTATTTTCAATACATTTATTAAAATTCATTAAAATATTAATAGAAGCAGTCAGTCCAGTGAGAATAAGCAGTGTTTTTTGGTGCTGACGTATGAAGCTGGTTGCCATGGAGTCCGACCAAAACTGTATATATTCAAGAAACTTCTGAAATTCATCATTTCACTCTGAGACATTGGAGGAGAAGCTTTCACTCGACGATTTCTAAAAACAAAAACTGAGCAAGTAATCACCTGAAAAGAGTTGACTGGTTCATCATGGAGACTGTAGGAATATAACAGTTTTATTAAAATATATTTTTCAAGTTATTTTACTGGATGCCTCAACTGAATTTCAACCGAAACTTGGAGCTTTCAGTGAAGGGAACATCTCATAAACCAGAAGACTGTACATTGTCAGTATATCTTGAATGTCACCAGCCTCACTCTTGCACTTCAGAAAGTTTTTGGCAACCATCACTTCCTCTGACTTAGGTTCAATATGGTAATGCAGTGCCAGTGCTGACAAATGAGGCTCAGACAAGAACTGGTTTGAGGTTGGACTGCACGCCTGAATTCTGATAAGCAAGTCCTGATTCACACCAGAAAAACACTTCTCAAGTTCAGAGATCATTCTGTCCAGATAAGGAAACAACAATTTCCTTTTGAGCTCTTCTGACTCAGAAGAACCACAGACTTCACTACCTGCCCCACAAGTTGACTCAACAACAAATCCATCTATTCTCTTTGTCTTCCGCCTCTGTCCAGAAGACAGCTCCAAGACTGCTATCTGGTTTGCCTCACATATAGCCTTTGTTCTTGCGTGAAGATCTGCAGCAGTGGCATCACTGCGTTTCTGCTTCAGAGTGTCAATCACTGCATCTTTGTATGTCTGTGCTTGGGCAATATCTATGGTCTCCTTCTGTAGTGTAAACCTGCTGTTACAGACAGGAGATCATTTAAAACAATCAGCAAATACATTGAGGAGAATTAATTGAGTTTTGCCTTCAATCCCATGGCCATAGGTGTGTTGATAGTGGAGAGGCACTCAATGATGGCAGGGAAATTGTCAAGCACTGCAGTCACTGAACGAACCTGGCATGCCCAGAGTGTGTTTGACAACTGCACAAGTTCACTTCGCTCCAATCCTAATTTCTTTTGAGTGTCCACGAACTTATGATAGTTCACAAGTGAAACACTGAAGAAGGAATGGACACTTTCAAGCATGTTGAAGAGCTCTGTGGCTTCAGAAACAGCTCTGCATGTGTGACATAGGACGAGATTCAACTCATGTGTGCAGCAATGCACGTATATCGCCTCAGGGTGCTGCTTTTGAAAATGGGCTTGCACACCCCCAACTGCCCTGCTCATGACAGCTGCTCCATCATAGGTCTGTGCCACACATTTCAACTGCTCAATTCCCTTCTCTTGCAATTGATTCTCAATAGCAGCGGTTATTGATGCAGCATCAAACTGTGGCATTTCTGTCAGGGCTAGGAACCTCTCTTTAACTGCACCTTCCACAGACATATACCTCACACAGAGTGCCAACTGTTCCATCTTTCCATCTCTGGCCTCATCAGCCATAATGGAAAACATCTGCAATTCCCCCATCTCACTAACAATAATTGCCATTACCTCTTGTGAACAACATTCAATCATCTCATTCTGACTGCTACAAGAGAGGTATGTGGTGTTTGATGGGGGTGTATACCTCTGCAAGAATGGATCAAACTTTCCCAAAAGTGTTATGCACTCTCGGAAATTCCCTTTATTGTAGCTCTCTTCTGTTTCATCATGACCTCGAAATGATATTCCTTGCTTCCCCAAGAAGCAGGTCACTGCCACAATACGTTCCAGGTACTCCCTTCTTTCACTAATGTCAGTGGCACTCGTTGCCTCTATCTGCTCTGCAACATTGCTTGTGACAGACTTGCTTTGTAGCTGTTCCAACAAACTACACTGTCCTTGTGTGACTGAGTGGTTTCATGTTTTTGAAACTTGCTCAATGCCTTTTGCCAGTTACTGACTCCCTTATTCACTAATGCATCATATCTGAGACTTTTGCCAAATACCCGACAAGCGAAGCAGAAAGCAGCATTTTTTTGAGAAGAATATTCTAACCATTTAAAGTTTTTGAACCAGTTTTCTTGAAAGGCTCTTTTTTGTGTGCCAAATTGAGTGAGTGGGTACTGACAGTTTTAACTGTTTAGGACCAGTAGTCTTATCCCCTAAATCAAAAGAAATATCTTGAGATCCTACTGCTTTGGCTTGATGGCTGGTATGCTGCTCTCTCTGCGTCTCTTCATCTCTTTTCCTGGTCTGCTCTCTCTCATCTCCCAGAGTCGCTCCCTGTTCTTCTCCTCCTTGTATAGTGAAATTAAGCAAATAGTAAAGCATATAGTTAATTAGGAAAATGTAATGAAGATGCCCTGTTTAGAATGAAGTCCACTGATATATGTTAAGTGTACGTGTGCTTCTGGAAAGCATTTAATGTGGGGAGAACACATAACTTCCATGACGTATATGTAAAATTATATTGTGAATGGAATGTTTTTCTTTGTCAGCTTAACAGTTGCTGTTTTGCGTGCCACTATTCTCTGTTTGTTTTCTTACCTGGTTCTTCCTGATCTTGCACTCTCTCCTCTCCTTTCCCTTTTTCATCTCTCCCTCTTTGGACAATCATACACAAATAGATTGTATTCAGCTAGATGAAAAATGCTGCTGCTCTCTTTTTGTTGTTAAAATATTACGTTTCAACCAAATACTGTATGGTTTTGACACTTTTCTAGCTTGTTAAAAAAGGACATACAGTAAAAAAAAATCTCTCAAATTTTAGGGGTGCTGGGATTCAGTTTAGGGGTGCTTCAGCACCCCCAAAAATGAGCTAGAAACGCCTATGTCTCCGAGTAAAAATTACATCAAAACATACCGGACTATACTCAATAAATGTGTTCTGTTGTTTATGATCACCTGCATGTACATTGATGTCTTTTTTTCCACACAAAGTTGTATGACTTGAGCTTCTGTCTGAAGATGCTTTAATGTTTTTGTCTTTTTGTTTTGCCTTACATAGTTTTCAGTTCAGACGGTGGCTGACTCGTGGATCTGTAGTGTGGTCATGCATGAGCACACTACACCGAGGCTCCGTCAGACTCTGTCAGGGCATCCACGTCCCTGACAGAGCCACCAGACCTGGGTGGAACTTAATGTTTTAACTTTGTGTTGAAACTTATTGTAAGATTCGGAACTTACAGACACTGGAGAGAAAATCTTTTTATTGGCGATTTTATGAAATAAATCTTTTTAATTGCACCATCAGTTGTTGTTGTTGTTTTTAACTCTGCTCACCCCTGATTTTATAAGAACCTGTGTAGCCTTGTGTGAAGTCCTAGGGTTACTTTAACAATAGGTGGCGCTGTCAGTGCCTCAATTTTTTTTAACATCTTTCATGTTTATTATGTGGTTCTTCAACTCAAGCTATTGATATTTATTGAGCATGTCTCACATGTTTCAGCTCATATACTCTGGGCTTGACCGTCCCTAGACACTTATACAGTGGGTGATAGTCGACAGTGAGTTAATTACAAACTTACTGAAGGCTGCATGATCGTACTTTTCCTTTGCTGTATATTATTCTTATCTACAGGTAACAGTGTCTCTACTAAACTTATAAGTGAACCTATTATGTTAGACCTGCTATTGGTTATAGAAAATGAAGTTGACATCATGCTGTGTAAAATGTTTTTGGACGGGGGCGCCATCTTGTGAGGAATGCACTATGTTATTGGTGTCCGCTAAAGTGATCATGCAACAGTATTTGGACAGTGGTAGATAACAAAGCACATACCAGTGGTGCCCCTGTGGACATACCCTCACATCGTCTATTGTACTGTTACGGCTATATTCTGTGTTAAATTTAATCTACTAAAATTAATATTTTCCTCAAGAATTTGTATAAATGTTTTTTAAACCTGAATATTTTTAATGAAAGCCCCACTTAAATGTGGAAAGCCAGCTGTAGGCTGAACTCGCTCTTATCTGTTAGATTTTGTTCTCTTGATAGGCAACACCAACATCAACTGATACAGTAATTTTATTTTGTTTGCTTAGAAAAGCTGCAACAAAGAATGCTGAACTTTTGGGTTCTGTGTGAGAGAGTGCAGAAAAATAGAGAACCCTCACATATATATCTTTTGTCTTGCTAATGACAGAGCTAAAGGCTTAACATGGAAAGAAGGATTGCCCGCAGACTGACCTGCACTTAGACTGCAATGGCTTTTAATGAAGCAATGTTTCAGTCCTCTGGACCTTTATCAAGCAAGAAGCAGTAGTCTTACTTAAATATAGGAAGTAGATCAGAGTTGACCAATCACAGTTTAGCATGTGTCATTACCAGAAAGAGCTTGTGACAATTAGTAAATGAACACACCCCAATGGAGCAGTGAACTAGATGAAGGGCCTATAATGGTCCCACAGTGACACTTGGTGGAGAAAAGTAGATACAACAGTCACAGCATTTCATTTAGCATCAACTCATCATTTAGACCTTTGGGGGAAAGTGTTTGTAATGTATGAATCCAATAAGCTTCACGTTGCTTTAGTAGAAGCTCATGATCACCCCCTCTCTTTGGAAGATGGATCTGTTCTATACCAATGAAACGAAAGGAAGAAATGTCATGATTGAAATCATTAAAATGCACAGCCACAGGGTAATTGCGATCATTTCTGCGGATGGTGCTTTTGTGTTCACTGATTCTCTGTTTCAGTTGTCTAGAAGTTTTATTTACATATGCTAAACCACATGGACAACTTAACAAGTATATAACATAGGTAGAAGCACATGTAGTAGTGCTTTTAATACTGAACTTCTTGCCTGTATGTGGATTGAGACTGGAAGTTGGTATGTATCAGATGGTCGCTGAGGTTTCTGCCATGTCTAAAAGATTATAGGAGGGGATCTTTAAAAAGAGGTGCCAATTCATGGTCAGATCTTAAAATATGCCAATGTTTTTTAAAAATGGATTTAATGGCAAAAGAATTAGAGGAAAAAGTGGTCACACGTGACTGAAAACTTTTTCTTTTCTATTACTTTTCTGTAATAACTCTGAGCGAGGTTTGTTGAATGCCAAATTGTGTGCCCCATCCACACAATCTGGTGAGTACCCTCTTTGTAAAAACCTATTCATCTCGACTGATTTTTACCATGAAGCCATCTGTGGAAGAGCAAACCCTTCTTAACCTGTAGAATTGACTAGGGTAGACTGGGTAAGCTAAAGGCTTAACTGAACTTGTATCTACACTATCAACCAAAATAATAATTATAAAAATAATAAATTGGTTTAATATCAGTGGAAAATGTCTGTGAGCTGGTGAAGCTGCCACCTGAGCTAAAGCCAGCCAAGCTAAAGCTAAACTAAATTTAGGCTACCAAGACTGCAAACTTCCCCTAGCTGTTACTTATTGAAAAATATACATTTTGTGGGGAATCCATCCATCGACATTTAACTAATGCTAAATTATACAAATCCAGTCATACTGGAGAAATAAACCTTACTAGCTACATTACATTTAGGTTTTGATGTCATTTACCAAAAACCTCTTCAACTATTTGGATACAGTTTTTATTTTAGATAATTGTATCTGTGTTCTTCTTGTTAACAGTCATCAAATGTTTTTACAAGAAATGTTAGAGTTACGATTAAAATACTATAAGTCAAATGTTACATCTGCCCCCACGTTACAGCTTATGGGCTGTAACAACACACGTAATACCTTCATGTAAATACCAAAGACCCCCAGAAACTCGCAACAATAAAGCTATAGTTTAATTTAATATCCATCTAAAAATGTAATTCCAGTTTGATTAAAACAGTAATTAATAATATCAGGCCTCCTTTCACTGCAAACCAAATCTACCTACAGGTACAAATAAAGTAACCTTACCTTACCTCAGAGCTCCTGCAGAGTTTCATGGTTCTGTCTCGTTTCTGATGGGTACAATTTGAGATGTTGATAAATGCCCCTTGTATAAAATGTGTACAAATTAAATGTCTCAAGTCAGGTTATGAATCGGAATTTCATTACCACTGAGTTTCAGTATTAGGCTACTATTACAAATCAAAAATAACACTTGAGAAATATGTTCATTTTCAGCCAATATGTCAGTATTTAAAGCTAAGACAACTTGTGATTCATAGACCCTGTGTCATCAGTGAGATGCAAAAGATTTAGCGACTGGACAATGCCACTAAATATGACAAAGACAAATTTAAATTCATTGACATTAAGGCTTAAGACAGTACAAGGAAAATACTGTAGACAAAAAAAAATATTTAAACACTAAAAATGAGTCTTGGTAGAAAATAGTATGACACATCAGTTTGTCCTTTGGCAGGCGGAGAAGGATCATCACAGACCAAACGCATCATGGGTTTCATGGTTCTGTCTTGTTTCTGATTCATGCAATTTGAGATGGATGGATCAATGGAACATGGATCAAGAGAAGATACACAGAGACTGCTGATGCATAGGGCCCAGAACTTGGTGCTACACCCCCGTGTTACAGTCAGAAGTACTCAAGTAAAGTTCAAGTACCTCAAATTTGTACCTAGGTTTAACTGAGTTAATGTTCTTTGTTACATCCCACCACTGTCTGTAAGTCATCTGCAGGATACATGAAACAATGGCAGTAGGCCTACTGTGCGCTGTTTTCACTTTCATAGGGACATGCTCCGGAGTGACCAGCAGGAGGCGACAGCGGCCTCCCACAAACTGTTCACAACAAGGAAGTCACATCCCGATATATGGTCATGTGTCAGGACCGACAGCATCCGAGCAGACATGGCCACTCTGCAGTATCTAAACGCTTTCATATCTGAGCGGCTGGCAGCGGCGGCTGTGGAGATTTTCGGGGCGGTGGAGAAAACGTTGACTGAGTACCAGGGAGAAATCAACCGGTTCAAACAGGAGACAGATCACCTGAGGACACTGCTGCTCTGGCCGCAAGTCAGATTACACAGATCAGGTGTGTGGATTGAATCACTCAATGATACAGATTCAGTCTTTATTTGGGGTTTTATAAGACGAGGTATTTGTAGAAAACATGGTGCGGCTTTAGTTTTTGAGATTTGGGTTTCAAATGGTGCCTCAATGCAAAATTATCCTGTTTTCATGAGGATGTCTTATAAATAAATGTAACTATTTCAGATGACATTGCATGTATTGACCTTGAAGACTTACAACAATGTATACATGACTATTTAAAGTAAGTTTATCTCTGGTCTCACCCCTTGATGCACTCTCATGTCACTCAGCATCTCATCGGGTCAGTCCTCCTCGCTGTGATAAGGAGGCTTCTCCCGAGTGCTGCCACAAGGAGGAGTGGGCCCCAGATGTGAGCCTGGAGCACCCCAGTCCTCTACATATTAAAGAGGAGCACGACCACAGGGCTGGTCAGCGAGGATTGTCCTGTAGGCACCAGTGCGATACCACAGTGTGTCCCCAGAATGTGAAAAGAGAAGGTCACGAGGAGCCGCCCTCACACCTCTACAGAATATTAACTGTTGAACAGACAGCAGATGTCAAGGCTGAGCCCGATGGTGTTGAGCTAATAACATCCCCATCACCCATGGAGGATGAGGCCACCAGGGGAGTAGATCCAGAGTCCCCTGGGCTCCAGCGAGAAACCCTGAAAGGTGAGGTGAACAAAGGCTAGAAAAATTAAAACTGATTATTTTATTATATGCACTCGTGTGTGCTGGAGAAACACTAAAAACGCTCTACATATTGAGACATTTCTACTGGGTTTGTTGGGTTGCATGTCCATTTGACACAAAAACTAAAACTAAACTACATCACATTAAATGATATTTTCATAAGAAAATATATACGCATGTGATCAGTTGATGATTTTTTTCACTATATTCCATCAACAGTGGACCCCAGGAAGACTAGCTCCGCTTTAGGGCACAGCTAATGGGGATCCTTATAAATAAAAACAAAAACAAAAAAACAGCGAGGTGAAACACCTTCAAATCCAAACTAACAAAAGGTAAAAGGAGTCATATATGTATACAACAAAATTTAGTATACACTGATAAGCCACAACATTAAAACCAGACAACATTGATCATTTCATTACAACGCAATGTTCTGCTGGGAATATTCAAGCCTTGACATTCATGTGAATGCCACTTGACACGCACAGGGGTCCCACGGTCATAGAGAACCTGGAAAAGTCATGGAATTTCACAATCACATTTTCCAGGCCTGAAAAAAATCATGGCATTAGTAAAAATCACTGAATTTTATTTTTAGGGCTGGGTTTAAATAATCAATTCATCTGATTCAAATCGATCTTCACTGGAATGACCTGATATGGATTCACAAAATCCAAGACTGATCTTTGAATAAATGATTTTTGCCAGGATTTGTTAAGCTGTAAAATAAAATTACTATAACTGTTAGGTTACAGCAGAACTGATACTGACTGATATCTGTGTTCTTTATTCTTAACTTATTCTAAACTTCACTCAGCACAGTGATGTCAGGATTATGATTTATTTTATTGACATTTTAGATTTGTTTTCAGTGATATTGAGTTTATATTGTGACTCTGCCTTTTTAATATTACTGTTGCTGCTCAAACAACATTTTGTTATAAAATATTCAGTTTTAATCTTGTTCTGAATTTATAATTTTAAAAAAAACAATTTCTTATTAAATTTACAGTCGTAGTTCTCTGAGAATCTCTTTCACATTCTTCTTCCCAATTGAATTGAATCAAATCGAATCGAATCGGAAATTGATGAGGACCTTGTGTTACAGTAATCTTCTGTGGATAACCCTCCATTTAATGTAACACAACAGCAAATGTATTTTCTGTAGCTGATTTTAGTTCTAATATGCCTTGATGTATGACAATGTTTTGTTGACCATCACGTACATGTATTTTTTTCCGCACAGTCCAACTCTTCCTTCATGTGCCCACTAGCTGAAAATGTGTGGGAGCCTTGCATGCACCACCCACCCAAACACCACTGCAGACCAAGTATGCCCCTTGGCTTTGGAGGCCAAGTTGACACCTTGAGCTCCCTGTCACGTTCCTCTGGTATTCCTGAGCAGTTGTTTCAGTGTGGCATGGTGCATCATTCTGCTGTGTGGGGGCCACTGCAATCAGGGAGCGCCCTTACCATGAGAGGGGGGTACTTGGTCTGCCACAGTGTTTGGGTGGGTGATGTGTGTCAAGTGGTATCCACATGAATGCCTGGACACAATATTTTCCATCAAACATTGCATTGTAGTGAGATGATCAATGTTAATCGTGTCATCTGTCAGGGTTTTTCTTAATGTTGTGACTGACTGTTTCTTTTCACACCTTTGTTCTTGTAGATCATCTTGAGATCGCTCATCACGAGCAGGATGGGTCTGATGAGCAGCAGAACGCTGACCAAGACTGGAGCCTCTGTCAGGATCACAAGGACCCTGATCCCCCTCAGATCAAAGAGGAAAAGTTTACATCATCTTGTCCTCAGGAAGATACTGAACACTATGAACTCCCTCGTCAGTCAGAGAGAAGTATTTATGATGAGCCTCATTGTTCAAGCCCCTGCCACCACCAGACTCTGAGCAACAAAACATTTTACACAGCAGAAGAAAAGAGGCGAGGTGTTGAAGGAGAAGGCTGTGAGCTATATGGACTGACCAAAGTTTGTCAGCCCTTCTACTCTGTGACTCTAGACCATCCTGCAGCTCAGAGCGAATATGCTGAGAATACAGATGGTGTGGTAAATGGAGAATGGATTAAGGCACTCACACCAACAAGAACAAGGCAAGGGAAAAGGCACAACTCCAACTTGTGCAGCAAGGACAGAGACGACATCGGAGTGGAAGAAAACGTAAATGATCTCACCAGGGAGAGGAGACACACTTGTCCCATCTGTGCCAAACGCTTTAAGGAGTCGGGCCACTTGAAGGATCATGTGAGGATCCACACAGGAGAGAAGCCGTACCAGTGTAAGGAATGTGGCATGAACTTCAGACAGAGTGGAGCTTTGACTCTGCACATGAGAATCCACACGGGGGAGCGGCCATACCAGTGCACCGACTGTGGTCGGCGCTTCAATAGAAAAGGTGACATGGAGACTCACAGGGTGACACACACAGGGGAAAGACCCCATCTGTGCATGATGTGTGGGAAAAGCTTCAAAAGGAAGAGCAACTTAAACACACATCTAAAGATCCATGCAGAGGACAGAATGGATTATGCACAGCCATTGTGACTGTTGAAATACTGTATGTATCATCCAGATAGTTACGCTCTGGAAAACAAGGATTATCAAACATAATATTAGGATGTTTGCTCAGTTCATAATACTTTTCCCCAGGAGACATCATGAAGAAACATTTATCTGAAATGATGATTTTATGATCTCTGATGATGTTTAAATTCACTTCCACAAACTTTGCCAGTAAAATACATTTGAGACAATGTAAACATTAGTTTTGTTCTTTTGTTTTCTAATGCTCATTATGAAAGCTTGGTTCTTCTCATTAAATTGTGTTTTGGGTGTATTGACTTTTCTTTCTTGACTTTTTTCTTTTTTATTTCATATGAGGCTGATGACTAGTGTCATGTTATTGTCAGCATATATGTAGGACAACCACAGCTCCACCGGCATTATCTAGGCAAGGTGCTGGAAACATCAGTGAGTCCAAACTGGTAGAGAAGATTTCCGCACACATACATCTCCACCTAAGATGGTAGATTTTAGCACCGCAATGACCAGCTGCAACACTGAGCATTGGTGTTCACAATAGTGCACACAGGTACTGGCAAATACTACACAAAATAAGTATATCTTAGCTGTATATTTGTGGTGCACCTCCCAGGCGACAGTATCCTCCTGAGACCTGGGTCCTCATATAATGACATCACATTTTTGGGTTTACTGCACCTTATACTTCATTCTGCTTAACTTAGACCTCATTCATGGACTCTTTTTTGTGCCATCTAGTGGTAGTAAGAGCACAATACACTAATCCATGTAAAAACAAGATGGCAGCTATCCCTGCCAAGTCCGTCTGCAGCTGATCCTGACACAAAAGTGGAAAAGGTCCAAAACCTGATCACATTTTATTGTTGATGCTTGGTTATTTATGATTAATAATGTTTGTAGTTTGATATGTCAACAATTTTTTTTTTTTACCAATTTTAGCAACAGTAACAAGCTAAGACACTGTAAAGTAGGAAGTACTCGTTGAAAGGCATTGGGACTTTATTGTCATCTTGTTTGAGGACATTGGGGTGTAGTTTCGTTTGAGGACAGTGGGACTTTATTATCATCTCGTTTGAGGACACTGGGACTTTATTATCGTCTTGTTTGAGGACATTGGGACTTTATTATCTCATTTGAGGACACTGGGACTTTATTATCTTGTTTGAGTACAGTGGGACTTTATTATCTCGTTTGAGGACACTGGGACTTTATTATCTTGTTTGAGTACAGTGGGACTTTATTATCTCGTTTGAGGACACTGGGACTTTATTATCTTGTTTGAGTACAGTGGGACTTTATTATCTCGTTTCAGGACACTGGGACTTTATTATTGTCTTGTTTGAGGACATTGGGACTTTATTATCTTGTTTGAGTACAGTGGGACTTTATTATCTCGTTTGAGGACACTGGGACTTTATTATCTTGTTTGAGTACAGTGGGACTTTATTATCTCGTTTGAGGACACTGGGACTTTATTATCTTGTTTGAGTACAGTGGGACTTTATTATCTCGTTTGAGGACACTGGGACTTTATTATCTTGTTTGAGTACAGTGGGACTTTATTATCTCGTTTGAGGACACTGGGACTTTATTATCTTGTTTGAGTACAGTGGGACTTTATTATCTCGTTTCAGGACACTGGGACTTTATTATTGTCTTGTTTGAGGACATTGGGACTTTATTATCTTGTTTGAGTACAGTGGGACTTTATTATCTCGTTTGAGGACACTGGGACTTTATTATCTTGTTTGAGTACAGTGGGACTTTATTATCTCGTTTGAGGACACTGGGACTTTATTATCTTGTTTGAGTACAGTGGGACTTTATTATCTCGTTTCAGGACACTGGGACTTTATTATTGTCTTGTTTGAGGACATTGGGACTTTATTATCTTGTTTGAGTACAGTGGGACTTTATTATCTCGTTTGAGGACACTGGGACTTTATTATCTTGTTTGAGTACAGTGGGACTTTATTATCTCGTTTGAGGGCACTGGGACTTTATTATCTTGTTTGAGGACATTGGGACTTTATTATCTTGTTTGAGGACATTGGGGTGTAGTCTCGTTTGAGGACAGTGGGACTTAATTATCATCCCGTTTGAGGACACTGGGACTTTATTATTGTCTTGTTTGAGGACACTGGGACTTTATTATCATCTCGTTTGAGGGCACTGGGACTTTATTATCGTCTCGTTTGAGGACACTGGGACTTTATTATCTCGTTTGAGGACATTGGGACTTTATTGTCGTCTCGTTTGAGGACACTGGGACTTTATTATCTCGTTTGAGGACAATGGGACTTTATTATCGTCTTGTTTGAGGACACTGGGACTTTATTATCTCGTTTGAGGACATTGGGACTTTATTATCTTGTTTGAAGACATTGGGACTTTATTATCGTCTCATTTGAGGACACTGGGACTTTATTATCTTGTTTGAGGACATTGGGACTTTATTATCTTGTTTGAGGACATTAGGGTGTAGTCTCGTTTGAGGACAGTGGGACTTTATTATCATCTCGTTTGAGGACACTGGGACTTTATTATCTTGTTTGAGGACATTGGGACTTTATTGTCATTTTGTTTGAGGACATTGGGGTGTAGTCTCGTTTGAGGACAGTGGGACTTTATTATCATCTCGTTTGAGGACACTGGGACTTTATTATCTTGTTTGAGGACATTGGGACTTTATTATCTTGTTTGAGGATATTGGGACTTTATTGTCATCTTGTTTGAGGACATTGGGATGTAGAGTGTTTAGATTAGGACCGTCACTGAGGAGATGGTAGATAATCACTACACCTTTAACAGGATGTTACGATGCCTTTTGAAAAGTTGGTATTTACTATAATAAACAAAAATACCTGGATGTTTACGCCCTTGTTGTCTTTGATTTGGTCATTGAATCACATATAGTAAGAACAGATTCAAAACCCTACTGATGGAGCTACATTACCCACCTCCATATAATTACTCTGTTCCTCATACTGTTATTTAGACATTACAGGTGCAACTGAGCGTGTGTTTGAACATTCAACAATCACAGCTCACAGTCATGGGTAAAAGTGAGTTGAATATATGACTTTCTAATGCGTCACCACTTATAAAGGGTTTGCATGTTGTCATGGCCTCATCAGAGGCAAATAAATAATTTAACATTGCTTTGTAAATCAGATTTAAGACTTTGATTTGAACAACTTTTGGGTTTCCAGGTTATATCTGCAGGGCAGCTGCTCTGTCTCTTTAGCTCTTTAGTTCATCATGTAGACTCCTTCAATGGACCATATGACCTCTGACCTTCTGGGAAATTAGGTCAGCTGTTCTACAGCATCTGGATCAATATCAATCCATCTCTGAACAACTTATTAGTAACTGTTAACTGATCGATAAAAGCACTATAGTAATAACTTAGTAACATTGATGGCTTATAATGAAGGGGGACTGATTATTTATTGTATAACTATTAATGATCACACAAAAAAAATTATTTTATGGACACTGGATCAACATGAATACTATCAACATACACTATCTATAAATCAACACACAGTATCTATAAGGTAAAGATAGAAAGTGGTGATTGTTTTTTGTGTTAGTTTTGCCTTTTTTTAAAATTAATTTTTAGTCAGTTATGGTAGGGATTGTTATGTGTTTGACGTTAGAAAAAGTGTGTAAATTGCATTTTCAGTAGGGACCTCAGATACTGACCCTGAGCTGGGTTTAGGTTTATGCACAAAACCTCCAAACCAAAACATCTGACACAAGAGGAAGTGGTCCATTCATGAAATAACGTACAAAGACAGCACCTTACCAAAACACAGCGAGAGAAATGAAAGACAAGGAAACGAAACTTAAATTAAGTTTTGTTGTCCCGTGGGCGGTGCTATTTGCATCCTGCACATTGAGAAATAGTGCCATTGTGCAGTAGACTTAGGCATACCTGTGACAGGAGCAGTAATTGTAGTCAGATACATTTTATTTCCTTTTTTTTTTTACAGGAGAAAAAAAGTCATCATCATCATGGCCACTCTGAACCAACAGTATGAGGAGAAGGTGCGTCCCTGCATCGACCTCATCGACCGTCTCCGCTCCCTGGGTGTAGAGAAGGACCTGGCGCTACCTGCTATCGCCGTGATAGGAGACCAGAGCTCCGGGAAGAGCTCTGTGTTGGAGGCGCTGTCAGGGGTGGCTCTGCCAAGAGGAAGTGGTAAGTTGTAGTCACTGAGACAGACAAATCTATCTATCTATCTATCTCTCTATCTATCTATCTGTCTATCTGTCTGTCTGTCTGTCAACTCAATCAGCTTGTCTGTACAGTGTAATAGCAGTATTACACTATTTCTCCACGATTACCATCTGTTATCTATATCAGCTTATATTTAAAGCTGCACTCACTGATTTTTGGCCATGGGGCATAATGCTGGGTTCACACTGGAGGCAGAAGCGCCCTAATTTGTTAACTGTGTACAGCTACCCTTCAGAAGTTCCAGTGAAAACCGTAACTAGGACATTGTTTCTGGAAAGACACATTTCTGTTTTTATAATGTAATTTTAACAGTGAAGGTGACTCCTATTAACTGGGAAACGTAATTCTCAAAACCTTGACTGGTTTTATAGTAGATATAAATACACCCCAACTTGTAGACTCCAATAAAAAGTGCCAGGCAGCAATTACGCCACAAGGAAAAAACACCATCAGAGCTTTAAAAAAAATACTTCACATGTGTTCTTGCATGCCTCCAGGGTAAATGAAGAAACCAAAAAATTTAAGTGAAATCATTGGGGACCATGTTTAACGGTGGCAAACTATATCAAAACATCCTTTTACAAACTCTCACATAACTTGCACAGGATAATCAAAGTCTCATTAAGGTCATTAAAAACACAGTCAAGCCAAAAAAAACAAACAAACTGATTTCCCAACATCAGTTATTTCCTTAAATCCAGAAAACAAAAGAGGGAAAAACAGTTGTTGTTTATCACACATTGATTTGATGGTGTGTCGTATGAAATCATGAGCATAGTGGCGAACGCAAACAAAGGAATAATGGCATACTTGTGCAAATATATCGTGAGAACTTATAAAAACTGTTTGGCATTGTTGTGAAATCCTGATCATTCGCCAATGGCAACTGTCCACCATAATATGAAGAGATAAACACAGAGGATAATAAAAACATAACCTGCTGCCTGGAGTTACAGTAATTATTTAAAGGCCCAAGCAATAATCTTTTTTTTTAGACCTTATAATTTGCAGGTATATTTTCACACAGTATAGAATTAAGGAGATTATAA